ATAAACATAATTAGATATATATAAAGAGATAAATTAAAAGATTAAATAATAAAATAATAATAATAAAGTGGTGAATAATAATGGGGGAGATGAATAGTGTACCTCATATTTGAGGGAACACTATTCATCTCCCATTTTGGGGACGAAAATGGAGGAGGGTTGGAGCTAAATTCCCAAAAATTTTACCCCATATTCTTACTCACTTCTTTCTCCAAAATTTCATTGCTCACCTTCATTCTCCAAGATTTCACTAGTTCAAATAATCAGCAATATTTTTAAGCTTCCAATAGTTCTATATGCTTTGAAAAATCTTAACTTATAGGACAATTCGGTATATTTTTATCCCGAAAATTTGGATACAAATAATGTGATGAGCGACAGAGAACATACCTGCATTGCTCATAGCCAATGACTAGTAATATATAAATTTAGGTACTACTAAAGTATTCAGAGTCGGCATATATCAAGAGATAGTAACAGGTAAGAGGAAGCCAGTAACCATCAGGAAACTTCTCACATAACTATATTTAGGTGACATCACAACTTTCAAACGACATTATGAATATGAGACTGAAACCCTTCTCTTCATCTAAGATCATATTACAGCAGAGAACCAAAAGAATTCGAGANAGATCGTACAGCATGAATTGGTTTTCTTCGCCTGCTTGTAGAACATCTGTTTGAAAACCACCAAGTTATGTCAGGAAATAAGTTGAAACTAATGAAGGTTCAAAGATAATCTGTAAGATTCTACAGCTTCTACAATATTACCATTAGCAAGAGTAACAATGATAAACAGTTAACAGCATAAACAAACAAGCACATCTTGTTTCTATTCGGGGCGATCCATCAACATATCACCAAAATATATTAGGTCATAGAGCAAAGAATTCAAACAAACACAGTTCATCTATAAGAAGAAGGCAGCTATTTCAGACGTTTACTTTCCCTATCGACGAGCACGTCAACAAATAGCATTACCATGTTGCTTTCGTTAAGCAGCCCCAGCCCCACCCACCCCCTCCAAAAAACGCAAAATAAATTTTAGCATGATTCTATGATGCTTTGACACGTGGACAGTTGACGGGAAGATATCTTTGATCTGCAGGCCAGCAGATGGGCAGTGCGTGTATCTTGTGTTTATAATACTACAGAGCTTGTTGCTCAGTTCCATATTCCCACATTTGAATATTGTCAGTTCCATTCCATGCATTCACCTTCAATATGCTGAATTCCTCCCAAGAGACGTCCCAAAAGCAAGTCAATAAAGAGACCCAGCAATACTGGTTATTCTTGTAAGCAACAAACTCCTGGTTATACTGACCAAGATTACTTCATATTAAATGCATCCAATTTTTCTTGCAGATCAATGGCCCTTCTATATCTATGTCATTCCTCACCTTTCGCATACATCAAGCTCCTCCAACTTCTTTAGCCAACTAAAATAAAGCAGTTCAACTATAACAAAGTCCAGGTGTTCATCTACTAGGGAAAAACTAGGCCAAGACAACAACGAAAAGGAAAAGAAAAATAAGAAACAAAAAGAAAGGGAGAGAGAGATAGACAGGCATCAAAAGTAAGGACAGGAAAGAAAAGAAGCTAATGCCCAAGGAGTCCCTTTTCACACAGTGGAATATAGTAGGCGGAGGTTGTCTACCTTCGGATGCAGGGAAATCAGTTAGTTTTTAAATTTCATTCGAATGACTCAAGTTAGCAGTTAGCACTCAAGGTAGCCTGCTGTATGTTCGGAAAAAGAGTAATTTCCAATGCCTAAAGGGATGGGAGATCCCCGTGGAGACAAAAATAGTAGGTTATTTCTTCTCATCTGTCTAAACCTAGGTTGTTTCTTCACATACAGCCTGCAAAATTTGAGTACCATAGCCATGTCCACCATGCTTGTAGAGAATGTGACTTAGTCAAATACTTCCCCTAGATTAATTGCAAATAACCTTTCCTGTGCAACTCAACAATTTCTTTTTAACTCAATATTGAACTTAACAAGCTACTTGCATCTTTTTAAGTTAAGTGACCCAATAACACTTTGTCAAACATCCGATTATCATCCGAACAACAGTAAAGACAGTTTGAATTGTCGAAAAAATTGATAAAACAGTAGAGATCAAATGATTACTCACAAAGAAACAAGGAAGAGCAAGTCCTTTGATAAGAGAGGGTTGCTCAAGTGGACAGCACAATATGGAATTATGAAGAACTAAGCGTTATCCCACTTCCAACCTTGAGGTTGAGGGTTTGGCTCACAATGGGAACAAAGCGGGGAAGGGCTACTGTTGACTCCTAGGTGGAGAGGTTGGGAAGGGATAAATGTAGGTTTACCAGATCAAAATGAGAGGAAAAGACAAATGGAAGAGCAATCCTCTAACAGATATAGGTGAGTTTTTCCCACATTAACAAAATTATTTACCTTGTCAAAAAAGAAAGAAAACAACACTCAAACAGATGCACTGTCACAAAAGTACCTGTGAAGCAGCACTTAGATCTGAACTCTTCTCAACCAAACTGTCTAGCTTCTCACCCCGTTCTAAGACACTGTCAATTGTCTTATGCTGTGTCAAAATGTAAAGAAGACCAACATCAGTAGAGCTAACAACAACAAAAGAAGCGGAGCAGAGTATTTTTCATGCATTAATAGTTTAATACATAATGCAGGCGCGTTCTGAAAGCAAATCCAAAATAAACAGAATAACTACGTCTAAAAAACGTTAATTCAAAGCAGATATTTAACTACCGCACTGAGTGTGCAATGGAAGAATCAGATTCATTTTCTAATTTCTACTCAACAGCATTCGATGTTAGGTTTCAGGATGTCCCTACATGTGTTAAAGAATAGTTGGGTTAAAAAGCCCAGGAAGGTCAAACCAGATATTATTTTTTTTTAAAAACCATGACCTACAAGAGGGACAAAGTGGAAATACCTCGGAGAGCTTATCAATAAGAAATAGAAAGCCATACTCAGAATGGCGTAACATATACCTTAGGAACCCAAAATAGCTGTATGGGTTTAAAATTTTCATTTATGCTTATGTCAATTTTGATGCCATTATAACCACTCCAACCCCCAAACACACAACAAAAAGAAGGAAAGAGAAACATACTTTCTTGCTCTCCAGCAAACATTAGGGACAAATAGGAGAATATAAAGGTATATACTGATTCTAGATAATCTGTTCCGTGATATAGATGATGAAGACTAAATTTAAGAAGGTAGACACACATCCACCAAAACACAGCAACATATTTGGTAAATTCTAAGCTGTCAAAAACAGAATATGAGATCAACTTTCATTGATAACCTAACTACAACATCTTTAACATCCTTAAGATATTCTTCCTCGAGCTACATTTTGAGTTAATTAATTCCTTTTTGTTAAAAAGGGTCCTAACAGAATTGTGTGGGGCAAAATTCTAAATGGCATATATGATCGGTCATATAATCGTACTTACATAAATGTTTTTTACACAAGATTCTTAGTTGGTGGAAGAAAATTGATTTGCCTCTTTCATTTAGTGTTCATTGTCGAATCGGACGCTTAACCCCCAACCCCAACTACGAGGAAAGTCACACTTAAACTTCCTGCCTTGACCTAGGCTTTCTCTATTTCTTTTCCTTTTCCAGGGGACAAAACTTCCCTGGAACTTCCCTCACTATTAGTCACTCACCATCTACTATCAGTAAGCTAGGTTCCCAAATGGGATAGGAACGATAAAAATGAAAGAAATTATTTATTTACTTCCCATAAGAGAGGGGGAATTCATCATTTACCTCTAATGTTTGGCAAGGTTGGAATGTAACCACAGAAGATATACTTCCCTTCTTTTTGTCCAAGTTGGAAGGGGCTAAGAAGTAGACAGAGAAGCAACTTCCCAATCTATTACATCCTCGCCAAAGTACCAAACAATAGAAATAAACCATAGCTCAGATCACTTCTGTTCTCTCTCTTTCCACCCCAACCAAACAAAGCATATTGGCAAAGAACTTATAGAAAAAACTACACCTACTTTATTCTCAAATAGACTATTACTAAAAACATCCACTAGGCTATAGTGAAGCAAGTGAGCTCAAATCAGAAGTAACCAGTGAAAAGGAAACTCAAGAGTTCAGTATCACATTTATTCTTTTTTCTTTTTGAGAATGCACATTTTTCCATATTATAAACAGAATAAATAATCATAGAGTCACGGACCAGAGATGGAGTACTCAGAATGAATGCCTTTACAACCATTTGAATGCGATAACAATTTTCAGAGTACAATATACAGTATAGAAATAGTCCAGAGCTCGAAAAACAGGCTCTAAGATAAATTTGGGATACATAAGTCTTGTGTCCCGTCAAAATATAATGAGATAGAGCATGAGAATGAAGCATACAAAACTTAACTCTTGTGTGTGTTAAAGAAAAATGAGATAGAGCATGAGAATGAAGCCTACAAAACGTAACTCTTGTGTGTGTTAAGAAAAACGGACCTGGCACCCTCACTTAACCCCAGAAGCTAGCTTATGAGATGAGATAGGGGTTGCCCAAAGTCGCATAAAGAGACTACAAACCATCATCTCAACCACTATGGATACTCTAACAGGCCCGCAGTCCAGCACACCCAGATTGAACATATTGAGTGTTAATGACATAACATGAGGGACGACACAACAAGATGGTCCCACTTATACCAAGTTAAGAAAAATGAACCTTGAGAAAATTGGACCTTGCGCATAAGTCAATCTCAATAGCTAGCTCATGTGTGAAGACTATCCAAAACCATAAAAAAAGACACAACCCATTCCTCGATCAATGCAGGACACAAGCCAAAAAAGTTCAAAGAAAGAACGAGAAATTAAGCATAGAGACAATCTTGACCCGTCAAAAGCAATAAAACCTAATAACTTTTTTGGTAACTTAATGCGCAACAGCAGAAGCTCTACAGGAAAATGGTTAGCAGTGGCTATGATAAAGATCATTAACCAAAGAAATGGAGAACCTATATTGTGTCCATGTCTTCCACAACTGAGTCCTCGATGATCAACTGTTCATTATCCACATGCATACTGCTTACTATCATTTTCAGTAAAGAAGCTAACAAGTATAACATTAAGCAGGCAATCAAATGAATAACACAATACTTACGATGATAATTTTTTAAAACTTTTTGATTATTAATACTTACGAGAATAATTTTAGTTTCATCCAACTCTCTCTGAATTTTGAAGAGCTTATCAGCCTCAGCAGGATCCTGTAGGGGTCAACATGAAAGGACTTCAGCTCAAACATCAAATGTTTTAAAATGAAGGTACGAAGAATTTGATTGAAAAGGAAATTCCATCATCAATCAGCAGCGGGAAACAAAAGGTATACCTGAAATTTGGCTAGAGCTTCATTCAGATAAGGCCATGGTTGAGCATTGTCGCTTTGCACGGTTTTCCATGACTCACCAAAATTCTTAAGATACTCATCCAGAACCTGGAAAAAATCAAAAGCAAATCCACAATTTGATTTCCGGATATATAGAGTTTCTCCTTTCGAAGCTGAATATCTAAAATAGAAAACAAATACCTGGTTGAGCAGTGAAAATGCACTTCGAACTGGATAGTGATCATCCATGAAACCCAGAGCACACAAACCATTTCGATTGTATGAATGTACCTTGTATTCTAAAGTCAAAAAAAGGAGATTAAAAACATATGTCAAACCTTGTGCGTGTGAAAAAATATGTTTGAGGAATATACCATGTATCAGTAGATTTACGTTTTTCTTCAATTATAAATTAAATGTAACATATTATACATATCGACTTCTAATTGATTTGACCATATAACTTCTTAAAAAAATGCAATGACAGAAAAGAGAAAATACATCTATATATCAGATTGTATTATATCAATCAACTTCTATGTGAACTTCTTGCAGCTTATCAGATAAGGTAAAGAAAAGCAAACACTATCACAAAATCTATCCAGTGTAAAGTGATAGATTGATCAGTATTGTGTAGCAGTAATACTGATCACACTATTGTTTTAGTATTACATAATAAGACCACTTGTACTTCAGGTAAAGTTTGAGAAATAGAAAACCTCAAATCAATATATAATCAACCATTTCATTAGAAATCAACAGAAACCTACAGTTTGAAATCCTAAAATATAGCAAAAGTGAATTTTAGAATACTACATCCAAACATAAAACTTATTCATGAAGTCCAACTATGTAAAGTGAAAGATCACAGAAACATTCCTTGTTAAAATGTCTAATCAACATGCTGAGTGTTGACACTGCTTCCACTGGCATGACTAAACAACTTGGAATCACAATTAATCTTATTTTCACTCATTTGGGGCTTTTGTGGAGGGTACTGAGGGAGACACAAAGGAATTTGCTTTCTTTTTCTGTGGACTAAGACTTGTAGATCTAACTAACCAATTCCATAGCCAACTACTAAAACTCAACATACGTCAGAAATTTAAAGAGAGAAGAAACGAAAAACTCTGAACAGCAAAATATTTAGAGGAAAATGAATAGAGTATCTGGAAAGTAACGTCTAGGTCCAAAGCCAGGAGCAATTTATGTGCTAAAGATTGTCAAATCCACTCCAGCCGCTCGTTTCATTTCATCCTCAACGCCCACATCCTTCACTCAATAATCACATAAAATAATCGTAAAAAGGAGCCTTTTCTTTACAGGCCCTAGAACTAATCAGACGGTGAGTTAAAAATCAACTTTCCTACTCTGTGCCAGAGCCTGAGATTTGGAACCAATCTGACCAGTTGTCATATCCTACACTAGTTGACAAATATCAATAACTAGTAGTGGCAAAATGGTTAAAAGAAAATAGTTAACCACCCATATTATCCACTAAAAATGGGTTGGATAATGAACTTTTTAAAAACGGGTCAATTATAGATAAGAACTATATTATCCATTTAGAAAATGGATAACCAATGCATAACTAATGGATAACCGATGAGTTTAACTTTTACATTTGTAAAGCCTCAAATTGGGGGTTCTTCAAGTTTGGGAGACTAGGAATTCTCCCAAAAGTGATCATATTCAAGAAGTTATGAATAATATGGGTACCCATATTATCCGCCGGTTAACCCGTTTTTTATCCATATTAAATATGGGTCGGGCCGGATAATTTATCCATTTTCATTATCCGTTTTCGACCCGAACCATATTCGACCTGCCCGTTTCCCACTCCAATCAATAACCCTTAACAAAACTCATGTTAAGGGTGTGAAACTGAAGACTTCAAAAAATTTAACCGAAAAGATTAAGCAGTTCACACAAAACAATTTTCCTAACTGAGCTATTCCCTACTTCTTCCTTCTACTTTTGAAACCCCCACCCCCAACAAACCCCCAACCCCACCCCACAAAACCATCTCCTGAACAACAACAACAACAACAACAACAATAACAACAGCTACTCCTCAGTCCCAAACAATGGGATTGGCTATATGAATCCCCATTGACCATGTTCCCATTTAAATCCATCTCCAGTCAACATTTTACAAAATATAAATATAACCAAAAAGTAGTAGTAGAAGTTTTTTATAGTTTCTATTGGCATAAGAATCTCTAATATGACTAAGAGACTCCTCGAAAACACATAGGACCAGAAGTAACCGTATAAACATGAGTGATATCAAATTCCCAAATCCCAACTAATTCAACTATCAAAGCATCATCAGCACCTATAGGACCAATAGCTGCAACTTTGCAACATTGCTCATCCATCTATACAATCGACCAAAATAAACACTGAAATTGAGCTACAACCCAAATAATTCCTCAAAACCAACTTCTCCCTCCCTCCCAATTTATGGCATACTCTTAATAGCTTTCTATATGACGAAATAAATTAACTATAAACTTACTATTTTTACCCTTAATAAGATGATTTTAAATATTTATGATTTGATTTACACCACAAGTTTCGAAAGCTTTTCTTGTTTTTCTTAAACTATGTGCCCAGTCAAGGAGCATCACGTAAATTGGGAAACAACATCACATGAATTGGGACAGACGGACTGATTACCCAATTAGGATGAAAAATTCATCAATCCATAACGCATCTGTAATTCCCCAAAATCAGATCAAACACATAGAAGATTCCCCAGGCCCAAATAACACAAACTCACAAGAAAATTCAAATAAATCAAAACCAAAATTCGAAAAGGATTTCTTAAAAAATTTAAACCTTCATGCTGAACGGATTGGCGTTGGCCCGGCGGGTTCCGTTTAGCGACGGTCCGACCCACGAAAACGATGAATTCCTTAACGCTGGATCTCTGAAAATACCCGAAATGGCTCACATCAGATGCGTTCGCTAAGATCACTGGATCCGAACCTTCTGGATTGCATTTCAACACCATCAACGCTGTGATCTTCATCTCTAAAAACCTCTGTAAATTTTGACAAAAATATTCAACCCAAAAAAACTTTTTTTGTTCTCCTACTGGCCGCCTTTAAGAATGGAATTGATCCGTTTTGAAATTACGCGATGTATATTGTTGTGTTTCACGATTTGTATAATTATGTTTCTTTATTTATATTTTTTATATTTATATTTTATTGTTGGTTTATCTTAATGGGGAAGATATAAGAAAAAGGAAAAGAGGGGAATATAAAGGTTCTTATGTAGTGGATTACCGAATTCGGAATATAATATATTCAAATTTGCAATTGGGGTTGAATATTGGCCACGTACAACAACAACAACAACAACCCAGTATAATCCCACAAGTGAGATTTGGGGAGGGTAATATGTACGCAGACCTTACCTCTACCCGAAGGGTAGGGAGGCTGTTTCCAGGAGACCCTCGGCTCAAGAGAGCAACAAGAGACAATATATTAGTACTATCAATAGACTCATAGTAAATAACATAAAATACATAACATAAAATAACAAAATAACAACAATTTAAGAAATATAGGAAATACGAAAAGAAGGTAAGGTATACTAATATCCAACAGATACAGCCCTGCATCAGTAGCTGGTCAGTAGCATCCTAATTCTTAAGTCTAACTCCTAAATGGCTAGTCTCCCTCTAGTGCGTTGTAGTAATATTCACAAACTTCCCCCTAACCTACAACCTTAATGTTCGACCTCCACAATTCCCTGTCAAGCTTTTACGTTTTTTTTTTTGTCATAAAATAAAGCTCTAATTTGAGAGTAATTTTAGTTTTTGTTTAGTTTTGTTTTTTAATCATTATTTATTTTGGTTCATATAATTTGTTTCACTCTGAAAAATTCCACCCACTTTGGGTATTAAAAACACTTCATATTAAAGACAACTTCATAAATTAATTTAATACATCTTGTTCATTTGAACTAAAACTTTATGAACTAAGCCGTGGTTTGTATCTAGAAAATAACATCTCTTTGACTTTAGCTTGTTGAGGATTAAAGTTTGATATTATTATTTGTCATGATAGATGAGGAATTTGGGCTCAAAGAGGTTATTGGGTTGTCCGAAGATGCAAGAATTGGGCCAACTAGGAGAAGCAGAAGAACTATACTATCACCACAAAGGCTTTTGGCTATATTTGCGATCCGGGTTGACGGGTCGGGAACATTGTAATGAATAGTTAAATGGGGGAATAGTAGCAGTAGTATAGTTAGGTTGAATATTGTATAAACTTTCCTCTCTTCGATCTCTCTCTCCCACGTTATTTCTCTTTGTGGCTCTGTCTCTTCCCCTACTTTCTTTTTGTTCCTATCCTAATGTCGTTAATGTCTATCATATTGTTTACTATTTACATGTACTAAGTGTTGCTATTAATCAATATTAATTGTTGTTTGAGAGGTTCATAACATTGGTGCTTTCATTTATCTAGACTCCATGGATCTCTACTCTTCTAATATTATCAATTATCATCTCGACGCCATCCAGGGACTGATGATAGCGATGATGGACAATAACAATCGTATGTTGAAAATTCTCGGCAACATTGAGAACAAGCTTTCTGCCTACTTTTGCACATCGGGATGTGGTTGTGTCTTTGGACCATAATTGCAAACTAGAGGATATATTAGCAGCAGAGGTTGACTCTGATTTGGATAATGGACGCTCCAGCCCTGCAGATTCTTCCGAAGTACTTATTGAGATGGTGGAAATCAAAAATGACGAGGAGGAAAATTCAAAAAGCTATGCCTGCAAGATGTTCGCTGAAATACCCAATCACAAAATTGACATGAAAGTTAAAGATACAGTGAAGAATGATTCAGCCAAGCCTGAAACCCAGGTGTTTGACAAAATATTTCAAACAGTTTCCACAGTAAAGTGTGATTACAGTGACCATGTCATATTTGATAAACAACTATCAGTGCCTCGTGTGCTTTCTGCTTGCAATCACACCCAATATCTCGACAAAGGTATATTTGATTACTTAAGTGGACTTGATCATGCTAAATTTATCTTATCCTTGCATCAATTTATACTTGATCAATTCGGATTGGAGTTTCCATTTGATCCTGGCTCTAGCTGGCTTACCACATTCCTTAGAGTTACAAGAAATTGTGCTATTTGTACTACTTCGAGTGATTTGTGTCCGGATAAGTTGATAATGTCAACCTTGTGGAATTCTTGCATTATACCCTTTGAAACTTCAGATGCGAAATACTATTGATGTATGCAATTTGTTGGACACAAACTGTGTGGGTAAAAGTGTTCTCATAAAAATTGTTATGAGTGGTTATTATGCTAAGTATTCCATTACTGTTGGAATTCTTAGGAAACTTATGTTGATATGTGTATGCAACATTACTTTTTGGGCTATTATCAAGTTTGGTCTTGTGTTGGATAGTAATTGTCCCTCTACTGTCCAATTCCTTATTGGTACAAGGAAAAAGGTGGGTTGTACTGTTATAAACATGGATATGAATGCTCCATTTGGTGTCACAAATGTTATTTTATCACTTGCAAGTTGACTTGTTATTTCTGCTGTTGTTATTCTAGTTCTTCGATTTGAAGTTGTTTCTAGTAAATTCAACGACCAACAGGTACTGGCTTGATTGCAGCTTTAGATAACACAGCCAGTGATCTTTCTATTCTTGGATGTATGACTTCTCTAATCTGAGGTTCTTGTGCATACCACCATTACATCCATGAGGGACTTGATGATTCGGGGTGGAACTGTGCTTACCAATGCATCCAAATACTCACTACATGGTTCATGATGCAAAATTACATTTCGATTGATGCCCTGCCACATAGGGAAATCCAACAGGCATTTGTAGAGATTGGCAACAAAGGCCCTTCATTTATAAGGTCGTGTGAATGGAGTGAAGCAAGTGAACTCAATCTTGTTTTAGATAAACTTGCTAGTCACAAAATCAATAACGTAATGATCGGAGTTCCAACAGGGGAAGGGTGGCTACTGCTTGTGGATACGATTGGATCTAAGAATATCAAACAAGTTGGTCAAACTGGGCAGAAAACAAAGATGCGAACTGCACAAATCTATCAAGAAAATATTACACGACAAAGGGTGGTTTTATCCATTCTTGACGATGACTTTCCTATACAATCTAGAGACAAGTAAATATTGTTTGTGCAAGGTTCTTTTGAAGATGCCAACTCCAAAGTTCTTATGATACAGTGCACCATCCCAGATTGTGAGGGAGATAAAGAAAATCTTCATGTTGCTACAGTGATGAAGCTAAAAGATTGTGTTCCTTGCTTGACCTTAGAGCAATTGTTGCTCCAATAATCTCTAGTTGTATTATGACGTACTTCTATACTATGAGATGAATCTGGGATCCTGGAGTTGATGGTTTGACAATCTATTTGTTTGACCCTTTCAAAGAATTGGCCTACATTTCTTGGTATGAGGCCACCAAGGTTAAAGGAAGGCAGCGATTAGAGTTGTCTGCTATCCACTACAAGAGCATGAAGGAGCTCTTGCTCCCTATCTGACTCTTCATAAGTTCACCACTATGACATCAGTATTTCTCTACTTGAACCTTGAAGACAAGGTTCTTATTGAGGATGGGGTTAATGTCACGATGGATGAGGAATTTGAGCTCAAAAAGGTTATTGGGTTGTCCAAAGATGCAAGAATTGGGCCAACTAGGAAAAGCAGAAGAATTATACTATCACCACAAAGGATTTTGGGTTATATTTGGGATCCGGGTTGACGGGTTGAGAACATAGTAATGAATAGTTAAATAGGGGAATAGTAGCGGTAGTATAGTTAGGCTAAATATTGTAGACACTTTCCTCTCTCTGGTCTCTCTCTCCCACGATATTTCTCTCTGTGGCTGTCTCTCCACCTACTTTCTTTCTGTTCCTATCATAATGTCATTAATGTCTATCATGTTGTTTAGTATTTCGCATTCGGATGATAAGGTGAAAATGTGATCCTCTTTATCTTCAAATCTTCAGGAAACTTTGTAATTTTTGCGCCGATAAATTGTGGCCCATTGTCGCATGCTATCTCTTTTGGTATTCCGAACCTGCAAATTATATTTTTCCATAGGAAGTCTACCATTTCGCGTTCTTCGATCTTCTGATAAGGACCTACTTCCACCCATCTAGAAAAATAGTCAGTTAAAACTAAAAGAAATCTTACCTTTCCATGAGCCGGTGGCAGTTTTCTGACGATGTCCATCCCCATTTCATGAATAGCCAGGGGGACAGAACCGAGTAAGGGTTCTGCCGATTGATGTACTAGTGGTGCATAACGTTGGCACTTATCACATTTTCGAATGAAGTCTTTGGCATCGTGTTCCATGCGGGGCTAGTAATATCCTGCCCGAACTAATTTCAGTGCCAAGGAATTTGCGCCCGAGTGATTGTTGTATATCCCTTCATGAACTTTTCTCATGACGTAATTAGCTTCAGAATCTCCTAAGCACCAGACCAGCGGGCCTTCAAAAGATTTTCTGTACAATTGGCCTTTCCTGAAGCTATAACGTGCAGCTTCTGCGCCTAACTCTCGTGATGCCTTGGGGTCTTCGGTCAACTTCTCGTGCTTGAGATAGTCGATTATTTCATTTCTCCATTCCCAAACCAAACTAGCTGAATTCACCTCATTGTAGCCATCTGTATCCAGGACTGAATTCATTAGTTGTACCATAGTCCCTGATTCTGATCCCTTGATTTCTATTGACGAGCCCAATTTTGCCAATGTATTTGCTTCTGTGTTTTCCTCCCTCGGGATATGAGTCATTTACCACTCCCGGAATCGTGTCAACAAAGCCTAAACCCTTACCATATATTGTTGCATACGGTCCTCTTTGGTGTCAAAGATCTCGTAGACCTGATTTACCACCAACTGCGAATCACATTTGATTTCAATGACCTCAGAGTCAAGTCCCCGAACCAGCTCGAGCCCTGCAATCAAAACTTTGTAGTCTGTTTCATTGTTAGTTAAAGGGATCATTCTGATGGCTTGCCTTATGATTTCCCCGATGGCGTGATTAAGACTATTCTGAGCCTGGACCCTTTTACATTGGAAGCTTCATCCATAAATAAGGTCCAAACCCCCGATGTTGATTCCGACACCATTACTGCCTCCTTGGTTGCCAGGGGCAATAGTCCCGGACTGAAATCGACCACGA